TTCAGTTCTGGTATGTAGCCCCGTGGAGTTCGTCAACATGTATTTGCAACTCTCAGTAGCAGTGATCGGCAGTCTTCTGACGTTATCAGGTACTTACAGAAGCGGTCAGAGGCGCTTTCCCACTGATTATTTTTCTTCTTCCGGAAAGAGAAAACAACTAGCAGAAACTTCACCTTCTGCCTCAATCCTTGAATCTTCTGACTCTGAAATTCGGAAATACTAAATATAATAGAACTTAATGAATTTTCGATGGAAATTGTTCAAATGGGAAGAATAAGCAAGAAAAAGCGTTTTGACGGTTAAGTCCGACAAAACTCCACAAAACTTGAGTAGGGAGAGCTATGTTGTCACTTCTCTAATATGCTGAATTCCACGACATTCTGTTGGCATCGATTTTTGGTCAATCTGTGCATTGTGGGTGGGCGCCCAATCTTGCTCTGATGTCCTGTGTTTCCTATTGAGGGTCCTTTCGTTTTGAAGCATCAACCGAGACAGAAGGAGTTCGAGACGATTTTTACTATAGTTTTATATCTTGAGCAGCAGAGGTCTGAGGTGTCTTCGAATCGTGATTCCTGCTCTTATGATTTCTGCGAAAACCGTCACTGAATGGCTTGACATTTTACCAGCATTAGTCCAGCTGCTCTTCTTATTCGAGACTGCAGGATATCTTCTCATCAGGGAAACAATTCATAAAGGAAGCTCCTGACGGAAGAAGAAAGAAAGTGTGCTCGACGACAGTTTCAGCGACCAAACGACGGATTGAGCCAGCTGGCTTCCAGCGCTTCTTCGCACGTGCCTTCGAGATATTACTCGTGAAGTCGCACAAACAATCCTTTCAGGTTGAGGCTTATTGATGCTAATCTAAGCCTAGTAAACTTTGTAATGGTCGACGGAAGTTTCAAAGTGCTCCTGAATCGTCTTGCAATGCAACACAATCAAACAGCTCGTCGGAGAAAAGTAGTGACTACTTCTCGAGGAGTTCAAAGATTGTCCATTTTGGAGTTGATATATGTATTTCATGTGAGGAAATCAAAGATGGACGATTGAATCATCAAAAGAAATACATAGAATATATGTACATCAAACTGCTGGTGTTTAGGACGAAAATTGGCAGCGGCAATCTCGTGATACCGTAATTTTTGCCAGCCATGTAGATAGGGCGATTAGGCGATTGCGCGATCGCCCGGTGGGCGGATCAGTGAAACCTGTGCATAACTTTGACTTGTCGTCTACTCGCCAAATCGCCTAATCGCAACGTACAATCGCCAACTCTGAACGCTGCCTTAGCGGTGTGTGAGCTTGAGATTCCTAATCACTCATTTTGCTGAAGAAAAAGACCGACGTACACAAATATGTACATGCAGGCACGCATACATACTAAGCGGGCTTACCAAGATAGCGGTTTATATAATAGAAGGATATTTGTTAGTATACGGCTATTCTGTGATGCAATGCTTGTTGTCCAGTATCGCCCTACACCACAGATTAAAATTGAAAATGCACCACATTATCCTTCTCCATATTCAAACTCCACCCTTTGAATTCCAGCCTGTCTATTAGCAATAGCAAAGCGGATGTCTGGCGTATCTCATCGGAAGAAGGATCCACCTCGAACATTATCTTTTTTGAATTTTGAGTCACAACGTAAATACATTCTCTGTAAGAAATTATTACGATGTTTTCAGCGTTTGCTTCTGATGATGAAGAACGCCTTATGATGGACGTTTTTCGCGGTTACAATTCACTTATACAAGTAAGAGATCTAGTCAAATTCTCAGAAGAGTTTTTATGTGCAATGCGATAGCAGCAATGCTCAATTGCAGCCGGTGAAGAACATTAGCGACACTCCAATCATCGTGAAGATTGCACTGCAACTTGTACTGCTTATCAATGTCGTACGTGGAATTTACTTTTTTGCAAAAGATCTTTAAGGGGACCGTCCAAAGAGAGCCATGATCTGTTTCACCCATGGAGCACTGGCCCGAGATCCACCATTCACCAGAAGGACGAAAAGAACGAAGAAGTTATGGAAACCCGAACGACTGCTGCGCGTTATTCCTGCCTACATCTGTCACAAGTTTTTTGGCGAACGGGGAAGATTCTACAGGCTCGTATTTTTTGGTGTGGCCTTCACTCAGAACCCTTCGCTGGCCTTTCCCAACCTGTGCACTCCTCGTTTTTCCTTGCCTCCTTGTAAGCGCCCTCCCATTCATCCCTCGACCGTACCATAGTGTGGCGTTGGCAAGTTGTTTTTCTTGGGAACTAAACCTTTGGTGAAACTTTTAACGTTGCGCTCTAGTTATCAAAAAACCGCGATATTCATGTTGAAGGAAGAGACTTGCAAGAAGTTTTCGGGCAGGATTCATTTGAGGGTAAAGGAATGGCAATCATGTGGCTATTCGGAGCGCAGTACTTTGTCCTCGACATCAACTTCTATCGCGGAATAAGAATTGAATTTTAGATGTTCTAGTCTTTGCCGTTCCTGATTTTGGCATTTTTCCAGGACGAAAAAGATCAAGTGATGCATACGAACGTGTGGTTAACATTGGTATGTGGCTTACTCATGATATGATCAACGATCTAGCTGCTAGTGATTGAACGTATTGGTCGAAGTCCTTGTAGCTTTCCTTACTGGATCACAACAGTTCAAATTTTGACATGTTTCGGAAGCGCAATCAACATATTCGTGTGAAAAAGGGAGAAGAGCGAAGAATGGAATTTTTTACTGAATGCTTGAATGTGACAAAATCCCAAATAAACTCATTATTGTAAAAAGATTACAACCCAACAGAAAGTCGACCGCATGATAAAAAACATTAGAGGCGCGGGTCGCGATTGAATTGAATGCACTATTTTGTTTCAACTACTACGCATAGAGTCGCAACGGGGAACATTAGTGAGGAGAAAAAACAAAAAGCACCATATAAAAACACTAAATTTCCTTTATGAGGCCGGCCGTAGTATGAAAGAGGGACACAGCGCTGCGAGGAAGAGCGAGAACGTGAGGTAGTACGTTAGTACGCGAGAGGGCGCAGACGTCACTTGATGCACGATAGATAAGTGCGGGCGCACGGCATGTACCACAAAGAAGGCCACTAAGCGCCGAATCGCTCGGCAGAATTCTGGAGTTGCAGGCAGGCGCTCCGCGCGCCGCACTAGGAGCCTGCCTCCTGCTCTTGGGGACCGTCTCTCTTACTCTGAAAGGGACTGGCTCTTGGGATAAAATACCAACCAACTCGTGGTTTTAGGCAGGTTTACTACTTTTGTGCCTTATGGAGTCGCCGGCAAAGTTGGCAGAGCTCAGTATGAGGTTCATTGCACAGGCAAAGCGGATTTTCCAGCGTTTCGGTGGGCGAAAAGGAAAACATTTTCTTTTTTCGGAGTGCGGTACCGTCAAGTCAAACTTCTGATAGCCAGTGACGCCGAGGTTTCGCCAGCGCCGAAATCAGGCAGACCCGAGATTTCTTGCAGCGAAAAGTTTTTCCGTGCGAAAGCGCGAAAAGTCGCTTTCTGTCCTAGTGAACCCCACTCCAGAGCCCATGTACGAAATCGCTGTGAGTTCGCTATTTATTGAGAAAACTTCCTATTTCCCCGGATTTCGCTGCGTTCCCTCCTCCACAACCTGCCATAGAATTTCCAATTTTTTTTCTGATAGTGTCGGCGATGACCCGCTCAGAAAATGCGTTCGGCCCCTTTGTTATAAAACGTCATGTCGAAATCACTTTCGTGCAGTAGAGGCGCGATGCTTTGGGTAACCCTTTTGCTAGGAGGCAAAGTCAGAACCTGTGCAGATAATAGCTTGAATGCAACTCTTCCTAGAAATGTATTGAATCTCGTCTGTTGCACTCTTGAGGCGGAACGGACGGATGAGTGTGCACACTGAACTGATGATCCAGCAGGACCCAACGTGAGCTGCTGCGAGTTGTTTCTGCGAGCGAAATAAGGATGTCTAGCAGAAGCGGCAACGACATTGGGAATGTGCTGCTCCCTTGGAAAGCACTCCGTTTCAAAGGATAGTAACGGCCATCCGTGAAACACGGGAATGGTTGTCCATGAAATAAAAGGGACCATGGCATAGGGTTTGAGTAGTGGTAAATGTAGACGCATACAAGTAGATTCATAGAAAGACGGTAACATATTCAGCAGGTATAGCATCAAACATTTGGGTGTGGAATGTCCCGAAAAAATCTCTTTATACCTAGGCGCTGACGGCATATCAGACTTCAGGGACTATTATTAAAACACTGAATCTGCCTAGTGATATCCATCGTGCAGTCAATTGTTCTACTGGATTGTAAGCTTCTACTGTAATTTGAAACTTATTTGAATTCGGTCGTGCTCGGGAAATTCCCAGCAGTACAAAGAATCCTGTTCCATTGTCTTTTTTTTCCCATTCAACACGTTAATGATTCAGTGAAAAAGGCTCGTTTTCAAAGCATATTAGAATTTGGAGAGGGACTTGAACCAACAAAGAAAAGGTTACGGCCGAAAAGCAGTTGTTGGTCAAATATCGCTGAACGCCACATTACTTATAGTCGATTTCAGAAATGGCACGATTTTCAAATGCGTTGGAATCCAGTGAAAATATGGCGAAATTCGGCAAATTCGAGTGCAACCGGACAAAGTGTGGGTTGCCAGACATCGTCCTGTTTAATAAGTACGTGTCGGTCTAAAATCATTGTGGCCGTGCTCCAGTCCTACTGGCTGAACAAGCCGAAATATTCGCGCGTGTGTCATAAAGTCTAATGGTGGTTCGTATTTCTTCAACACATTTGACGGGGCAGCTCTCTCTCAATAATTTCGTTACTGGTAATAATAACAGTTTCTGGATCCAATGATGCAGACCCACAACTTTTCCACATAAAAAATATTGAGTAAATCGAGCGAAACCATGCCCAATCGCCCTAATATGACGCGCATGCGCGTCACACACACTGTCGTCAATGCTGAATGCGCCTCGTTAGAATCACGCGCCCTTCCCGATCGGGCATGCTATGGCGACCGAACTATGCTGAGGACAGGCACTGCGATCAATTGGAGCTTTTGTCCCCGGCGCACTATGGGTCGTAGTTGCGGCGGTCACTTCTGCTTCCAAGATTAACGCAAAACCATCAACGCTGCTATTTGAACGCCACGAAAATAAATTCACAGAAGAGATGGTAGTGGCTCGAACATCCACCATGCTTGCTGGATATGTTGCCGTCAGACTATATCTTCTTCATTTGCGCAAACAAAGATCTGTCAACGTTGGCGAAGTTTGCACAAGTTTCGGCCAATTTTCTTGAATCAAAGGATGATCCATTTTGGAACCTAGGCATCGATTGCTGCGGGGTGAGTCCAAAGAAAGTTATTGATTTGATTAATTGGTTTGGACGATTTGTTGTCTTTTTGTTAAAACCCACAGCATTCATCATTCTCACATTGATCCCTGACTCGACACTGTCTGGGAACTTTTACAGCAGCTTTGTAATTGCTGGTTCAAAGCAACAGTCTCAGCAGAGTTTTCGCCTTCGACACTAATGGTGTGGGACGATGCGCTAGCCCTAGTCAAGAACATAGAAAGTGTGACTGAACAAAAAACTCACCTTGAAAGCTGCTAGAAAGGGAGCTGAAAGCAGATCCGAAGAGGGCGCGGTCGCCGATTGGCTGCAGGCCCCTCAGCCTATTGTCGACCACGCCACATCGAAGATGTTCAGCTAGCCTTCTAGCGGCTTTTAGCGGTGAGTTTTTTGTTCAGTCGCACTTTTTATGTTGCTGACTAGGGTTTTACAATGATTAGTACAGTAAACAACAAACAGAACAAGTAAAAGGAAACCATGTGTGTCTGCTGTAGCTTTCAGCTTCGTTGTTCACTGCTGATATCGGCTAACCGGCTCATGACTTTAGACATGTGGTGCTGATAACTGTACTATACATCTGAAAGAAATGCTGGCTGGATGGGTGCCCTAGCAGTGTAGTGGTTCACAATTGCTCGAAAGCAGACCAGAGATGCGGGTCGAGATAGGCCAGGGCCGGGCCCTTTGTCCAATTAATTGCTAGCATTCCAGATGAAACACGCATTGAATAGTAAACACGTGACATTAATTGTGGAACCTCGAGTCATTCATTGTTGCCTGACGACTGAAATTGAACCACCCTTAAGCCAGACCAGACGCTCCTGCGATCGAAACCTTCCGAACACGAGGATCTGCAACTATTTCATGAAACGTCCTTGTAACACCCCTCCTCCTCCCACCCTTTACCCTCTTTTTCGAGTTCGAATTGATTTACTCCCAGTGGTCTTTTTTCAGCGCCGACGGTAACTACGAGGTGTCTTTCATGTGTAATGTCGTTATAAATCATCTTGGCGACATGCTGTGGGTGCCGCCGGCAATCTACAAGAGTTCTTGTATAATAGGTAGGTGAGCCTTCTCTGGAAAATTGCACATTCAGCAGAAATTATAATCGTAAACTTCAGATAATGTGGAATTCTTCCCGTTCGACGAGCAGGTATGTACGTTGGTGTTTTCGGATCGTGGACGGTGGGTATTTTCTGTAGCTTTCAACAAGATCTTTTGTTGTCAGTCCTGAAGGATACTGCTTCAGTATAACGAGAATGAGATCAAACTTGAGTTTGAACAAGCTGAATGGGTGGACTTGTCCGAGTATGCACCATCCTCCATTTGGGATGTAATGGATGCTCCCGCATCGTTGGTGAACAAGCGGAGCAGGATCGAATTCCAAGTGAGAATCAGGTATGTATATAATGTACAGGGTGAGAACAAATTAGTGAGACAGCGCACCCTCGCGAAACTGTGAAAACCTCTCAGAGCGAAACCGTTTTTCAATGTTCTTGTTTGCTTATACTGGTAGTTGTGCACTGTGCTGCAGCATCACTTGTAGTACCTGCCGTTCTGTTGACCATCGATATGTTCAAGTGGGCGCCAACAAAGACTCCATGCGTCTGTTGCGTGGAAAGTGTCGTAATGGGATCCTCCTCAACCTACTGCCACAACCCTATTCATTCCTTTCGTTAGGAGCCTTCGTAAAAAGCCTGACCACCGGGCCAGGCCGGACGACGTCCAGGTGCTTGACGTCCCGAGGGATCCAGTGGGTAGCCGCTTTAGCCCAACGGTCATCCCAAAACTGCGTGACGTGCTTGGCCCACCTGCTCTTCGTTCCTTGGCAAAACGGCAGCTCCACTGAAGTTCGACAGTTGATGTAGTTAGAAATTCTGGATTGCTTTTCTAAACTCCCACCAACCTATATTTACCTGTCGTAGGCACTAGCTCCAGAATACCTGTTGTGTTAGGGGGAAGTGTATTCGATATCCACGGAAATGTGAATCTTTAGATAGTTTCGTGATGTTATACATAGTGCTGCAGCTAGTGCTCGCAATGTTTTCAGAAGAAAAACACTTTTCTACACGGTTGTGCTCATCATCCCTACTGTACTGATGGCCTTTCTCAGTATGGCAGTATTCTTTCTGCCAACGGATTCTGGTAAGTCTGATAGCCACACGCTTGCTGGAGCTTGGCTTACTTATTCGCAAGCAGTTGGAATTCAGTAACCAATAAGTATATTAATGTAAAATATGGCGCGCTCAATGGTGATAATTTTCAGAATTGACGGCCTGAAATAAAAAGGTGGTCTTCGAAGAACGGCCGTATTCTTGTGAAGCGGAAAAGGGTATGCTGAGTTGATTCGCTCAACCTCAGGATCGCTACGCATAAGATTTTCATCAGAAATCCCAGTGGCACATTAATTCGTACTTGCTTGATATACCTCCAATCTCTACGACGTAGCCCCAGGAAAGCCGGCTGTAGGCACAGAGCATATCGTAAGAAATCGTAAGAAGAACTGGAGCAATGTAGATAAGGAGATTTTTTGAAGGTGTGATCTCATAAAAATTACTTGGATGGTGGATGGAATTCGGTCTGTCCCACAACCACGGTGCTGGTAGTGCCTTCTGGACCTAACCCATCTCCTTCGTCTTCAGTCTCTATCACGTAAGCTTGAAAGTAGCCATTTTGGGAATAAAGATCCTCCAGCTGGGTCCTAGATAAACCAGTTTTTCGTGTTACCCTCGAAGTCAAAAGTTGGGCTCAATATGGGGCATTATGGCGTTTGAAGTTGAGTACGGAGATGCGAAATGGAACGACAGTGGAGAAAAAACGAAAAGAAACCGTCGACAAGGCCGAAAACGAAACCCCCGCTCCCACTAGCAGTGAAGGAGGCTTGCTTGGGAGAGAGCCACGTCCAAACGAGTTTTCCGGATATGCCAGCCGTTCCATCGGTTTGATACGGCAATCAACCTAGCTGATTTCACAGGTCATGCCAGCCACGCGCTACTTCCGCAAGTGCGGAGGGGGCATAGCTAAATGCAGTGTAGCTATCGCTGTAAATAGTAAGCCAGGGGCCTTGTTCACCCTTCTGAGTGCAGTCCAGATCATATTAGAGATGGAAGGGCTTTCTACGAGCACCTTAACCTGACTTGTGGCTTTGAGGAACTCCCTTTGCCCTTTGCCTAGGTTCAGATCTCTACAAAGATCTCTACAAATAATCGTGAAAAAAATCGTGACTGTCCAAACGTCCATATTGGAGCTGTTTATTTGTGTGCCATAATCGCTTCAGTCTACAATCAAACATTTAGCCCATTTGTTGTATCAGGAAACTCAACCTGGAAGATATTTTACAGGCGAAAAGATGACGCTCACAATTTCCGTGTTGCTCTCCATCGTTGTTTTCCTGCTGCTGGTCTCGAAAATCCTTCCACCGACATCCAGCACTATACCGCTTATGGCAAAGTCAGACACCTCGGAAGAATTCTTTGACTATTCTTGGCGCTAAATTCTGGCCGATCTCAAGCTTGGCATTCAGGTATCTGCTGCTCACGTTCGTGCTCAACGTCATTACCATCTTAGTTACCGTAATTATCATTAATGTCTATTTTCGTGGGCCAACGACACATCGAATGCCCAAGTGGGTGCGTAAGCTGTTCCTTGAGGTTGGTTCCGTTTCCTTATTGCTTTACTGGTGGCAAACGCTTGATGGTGAACTGTTTTGTTTGTTTCAGTGGATGCCCCATGCCATGTGCATGCAGCGACCAAAATCTCAAGTGAGGAAACCAATTGCTGACCCTCCACACCCTGAAATCACGCAATTACCCGTCTCGGCCATTTCACTATCAATCCGGCCGCACATCATCCTTTTTGTCCCAGTGCTGACGAAAAGTAAGTACCTTTCCTTCATGTCTAAATAGACCTCTTGTAAAGTTTTACTATGAATACACTGGAGTACATGAACATTGTGGAATACACCACATATTTCATTTAAATTTGAAATGTACGCATTCGGCATGCACTCGCATAATTTACCCCTACTTACCCTATAACTTGCTAAGGATTGGCAACATGTAGGGCACGGACTGGAGAAGCAGAGTGACTCAGTAGACTGCAAACGAGCTTATCCCTATCTTCCACAGTTTTTAATCTCTTTACAGGCTGGGGCAAAATTACTGGTGCACTAAATTTTCAATGGCATTTTGACAATAATTCTCACAAATCAATTCTAATTATCAATATTATTTACTACAAACATGACAATACAAAAAATGTTAATGCTTCTCAAAATGATCTCCTTTAGCCTTCACACAGTCCTTCAGACGTTCGACAAATGCTTCGCATGTGGCACGCAGGTACTGGTCATCGATTTCGTCCCAAGATTTTGAAAGCGCCGCCTTAAGAGAGTCCAAGTTTGGATGTCTGGTAGAACACGCTTTGCTCTCCAAGATGGACCACACAGAGTAATCCATCGGGTTTAGATCAGGAGAACTGGAGGGCCATTCGTCGTGTCTGATGAAGTCGGGCAGGTGCTCGGCGCACCACTCCTGGACCATCTTTGCTTTGTGTGCTGGAGCAGAATCCTGCTGGAAGCACCAGTAGGCTTCTCCGAAATGGGAGTTGGCCCACGGCTTGAGAACTTCCTCCAGGATATTTTTGTAAACCTCTGCGTTGATTTTTACACCAGCTTCAACGAAAACAAGTGGGGTCTTCCCCGTAGAGGTGACTCCTCCCCAAACAAGAATGGACTGGGGGTGTTTCGCTCTTTCCTGGAGTCTTGCCTTGGTGGTAGCATCAGCAAGTGATCCTGCAATCCTCTCATTTTGGGAGTTGAAGGCTGGATTCAGAGTAAAAATCTTTTCATCACTGAAAACGATGTCTCGGGCGCGTGCCACCGTGAATCGCTGCAGCAACTTCTTGCATCTCTCCAATCTCCTTTTCTTCATAATGTCCGTCAGGAGTTGGCATTTCTGCAAGCGATAGGGGAACTTCCTTAGCTTACTTCTGACAATCCTCCTCATTGACCTCGCGCTTACTCCAACGTCTTTCGCCATCTGGCGCATCGATCTCCTGGCGTTCCTTCGAATTCTTTCTCTGACGAGCCTCACATTTCTCCGACTCGTAGCTGTTGTGGGACGTCCTCTTCCTTCCCTGTCCTCTTCGGTCTTCAGTTCTTTATAGCGTCGTACTGTATTCTGAACCGTCCTTCGAGGTACGGAAAGGATCTTCACAATTTCTCTTGTTTGCTTGCCGTCGTTGTGAAGTTTGATGATCGCGCTCCGTAGGTCAGAA